TTTGCAAATAGACATCAAACACTTAGGTGATATGATAAATAAATAGCATCACAATAGATAATTAATATATAAATTAGCTTATTCTCGTAATAATATCAAAATAATACGAAAAAATATCAAATAAATATAGTAGTTAACATTTCAAAAGGGGAGAAACTTAAAAATTTTTTTTTTTTGTTATAAAATAGAACACATATTGGAACCTTGTTTATGAATTTATAAATATGCTTTGCTTAATTATTGCACAATTATTATCCTCATCAAGGAAAATGATTTTTATGAGTACTGTAAAAATACAATGAATTATAATTGAGGAGAGTTCAAGGTTAAAGCACTATGTGAAAAACTTCAAAGCAATTCTATAGCTTTATATACTGTTGAGGAAGAATGTGTAGAACAAGGTACCCTTTGTTTACATTTGACCTATTGTATATATGAGAAAATAAGGGAAGCACTAAACATCTAATGTTATGAAAATTTTTGATAATTTATATTAATCTTTTAAATAATACAGAAAATAACAGTTTTATATTATCAGTGCACTTGAATTATAGTTATGCTATATAATAATGAAGATAGAACTAGATAAATGAAAAGATGAGCAAATTTTAGATGATTATTACTAAAATTATGAGAACTTCGTTGAATTAGCTAAAGGCATTAACAACAAGATATGTAGAATATGCTGTGACTACTCATGTTTTTAAAAATAATTATAAAAAAAAAAAAAAACGAACATGTAGAATGTTGTGTTTTCAATTAATTCATTTGTAGATATTATTTCGAATTTACATATGAATGCGATCTGGGTACTACTTTATCCAAATAAATTTGTAGTTGTGATCAAAGGTGTAAATACCTTCTTGAAAGCTAAAAAAATTTCGAATTAAGCTGAACATGAAACATAAAGTGCAATGAATGAACTAGGAACTAATTGTGATATATAATGAATGATATGTGGAGGAGAAGATGACTGAATAATTATTTTGTTTTCTGGCCACGAATCTTTACCGAATTGCTTTATAGGATCATATGAACCCAATCAAGTTTAGAATCAAGGATGGGATTGTTAATCTTTTATAAAAAGTGTGAAATGGGGAACCTTATATACAAGAGGATAGTAATGCAGAAACTGAACAGAATTGGTTTATACTATTCCATAAAATGATGAACAAAAAAAAAAAAAAAACATAACCTGAGGATAAAACAGAAAGAGTAAAAAAAGGAGAACATGTAAACCTGAATGTGCACGTGCGTATTATTATTTAAATAAAATGGATAAATATAAACTTGTTATTTTTATCTACTGAAAAAATAGCCCTTATATAGTGTATTGTATACTGAACTTATTTGAAAATATATAATAAATCATAAATAATCATTAATTAATATGTCCTCACAGAAAGCATGATTTTCACCTTCAATTATAAGGCTATTTTGTTATTCATTTAAAAACATAAAAAAGGGTTAATTTTTTCAAAAAAATTTATAAATAAAATAGGAAGATTAAAATAAAATGGATAAAATTCTTCTTTGAAAAACAATAATTTGTATGTTTAATATAAAACACATTTTTTTTTAATTTAAGATGCATAAATAAATTCCTTTTTCTATATGTTTTGTTCATTTTACATCAGTTAATACTATTATAGAATTTTAACGCTGATGATTTATATCTAAGGCAATTATTGGGGTCCAATAGAATTTGATAATATGCAAATATTTATTAATAGTAATTGCAAATAATCTAGTAATATATTATATGTATATAAAATATTCATTTCGAAACGTTAATAAAAATTTCCTTATAATAATAAAAGAATATATTTCACTTATTAAATTTTACTAGAATAATGAACCCTGTAAAATATTACAACTTTCACTTTTAGAAAATAATAGTAAAAGATACATGACAATCCTTCAAGTCAAAACTAATATTATAAAAAGATCAGATAAGTGTATAGCAGTTTGTAAAAAATATGTAAAAATATTTTAATATTTAAAATATAATATAAATCACGTGCAATATATATAATTATGTTTAGCTTAAAATTTAATACACTCATATGTGTTACAGTATTTAGATATATATTATATCTGCAGGAGAGAGTGTACACAATATAATCTACAGTTTGATGAGACCAAATTTAGTAGATAATTTTTTTATTGTATCATAAATATATTTTCATTTGTTCCGTTCTAATTCTTATAAGAAATCAATGTACATTTACATATCACAACTTTAGACAATTTTAAACAACCAAAAAGTTATCTTAAACATTGTTAAGTTAGATGAATATAAATTGTATTCAATAAAATTAAATCTCGTTCATTTAATTAACTTATATACGCGCTAAAAGTTTAATGTATAAATTTTTATTTCTTTATATAATAAACATGATTACATTCCATTTTTACAAAATGATATTTTCTATTATATAAATTTTGCAGCATACCAAATATAGCATTGTATATTTTGATAAAACTACAGGTAATATATTCTAATATATGAAAATATGAGAAATTATATAATAAAACATAAAAAAAGAAAAATTATATAATGATATACTTTGAATAATGCATAAATTAAAAAAGATTATTTCTTGTTACAAAGATAGTTAAAAAAATAAGGGAAGTGTTACAATATTTTCAATATAATATCAATAACAGATTACACATATTAAATTATTAAGCTGTAATATATGTTAATTAGATGTTTATTATATACATATATTTGTAATATTATTTATTTTTTGTGCATTTACATAATTCTTGTAATCTGAACTATAATGACATTTGGGAATATATATATTTTGGTGTATATTATTTATTTTTTCTTCTATTTTTTAATTAGTTTTCTATGTGCATAAGCATATTAAGAAAAAAATTAAAAATAAATATTACATTTCTAATTATTTTATATGTTAATTACATGAAAGTATAGATTATTTCTTTGATAAACATACTTATAAAACCACTTTAATTATACCAAGGGGGCATTATATTTACTCATTTCGGAAGACTAGATTAAATGGGTCTTCTTATATTATGTATTAAAATAGTTTAGCACTAAAATAAATAATAGTTTATTAAGTATTATTATAACAGTGTTGTTTTTATTTGGTAAGTGATAAAAACAGTGCTTACATTAATGCAAGTGTAACAAACGTCAAATGAAGTTCAAGCGAAACATTTTTTATAATGGAGATTCATCAATATTATTAATAATTCATTAAAACAATAAAATATTGCATTAATATGCAATACAGGTTACATTTTTTTAATAATGGTAATTTTTATAAGACATATAAAAAACAAAATAAGTGGATTTATATTTATGTACAAAAAAAATGACGCAAACACATATAAGTAATTAGGGAAATTATATTTGATAGACTAAACATTAATATATGTATTATGAAACGATTTACTTCACATGATAGATCATTTAACATAATTTTTATTGTTAAATTTAGTTACATATTAAAAATGAAATAACACACTAAAATGATCACACATGTGATCTTACTAAAAAAAATATTATTACACAATAATATAAAGTAGTAGTGAAAAAAATAAAGTATATTTCAATTGTAACAAGAAAAAAGAAAAAATATTGTTATATCTAACCCAAATATATATCTGCTATGTAGCATATATCTATATAGACTTTAAAAAAATGAATCTGAAATACATTTTTATTAAAAAGTTTAACACAAATAAGGAAATGATAGCATATTTCTTTAATTCTAAATGGAATGTATGTTTTCATTCGATATGAAATTATCATAATTATTTCATCTTCTTGTTAAAGTGACTTATTTTATATGTTCATAACATCAAGTTTTTTTTTCATATTTGGATACATATATTTATACAATGAAATGCGTCATTAATAATATCTGCAAAAATCCTGTTAATTGTTTTCAATTATATTTTCATGTGTATGGTACACTTTAAATACTTTTTTATCAAGGTGCCTTATTGCCATAATCTAAAATTTCATAATTATTTTTTTTCTTAAATTTTTTCTAAAATTTAAATTATTAACTTAGCACCTCTAGGATAAAACATGTATATATTTTTTCTTTTAGTACATTTTGTTAATATATTTTTATTCCATAATTACATTTTCTCAGTACTTCATTTTTTCCCTCCTTTATTAAACTATTAATATTCTAAATTTCCATACGGCATATGGACAATGTTTTCTTCAAGATTTGTTCTTCCTGATAATATTGTCTGCAATTTTTTTTCAATGAATTTTTTTTTTTTTTTTCTTTTTTTACTTAATGTGGTCCCAAGAGGAGTGTACTATAATTTAAGAAAATATAAATTTATTAATATTTAATTTTAATTACAATGCATGATTAGTATATCAATCTCATAATAAATATAAAAGATTAATTTTACCTTTTTTAGAAGGGCGAATAATAGCATTGCTGCCAATATCAATGCAATAATTATGATATATATTTTTATGGGGTGTCCTTCATGTTCCGTGTTTGTTGTATCTAATCCTGAAACTTCTTTAATGATTCTTCCTTCTTCTGAATCTGTTTCCTCATTTTGAACACTATCAGCAATTGTGTTAAATTTTGTGTCTCCTTCGCTATGGGAAACTCTTCCATCTTTCTTATCATCTAAGTGTTCTTTTCCGTTATCCGTAATATTACCCGTAGATTCATCTATCAAAAGAGAGTTATTAGATTTATGGCTTTGTAAAACTGGTTTTACTTGATTTTTTTTTGCATCATGAAGTCCAGGAGATATGACAGACGATAATTCTTGATCGTTTCTTATCTGTTCAGTATTTGTCTTTTTTTCGAGTTTTCCTTGATTAAGAGTTTGTTGTGAGTCACCAGGAAAATTTTTCCCCTGATAATCAGTTTCATAGGTTGAATCTTTAGGAAATAGTGTCTGTGAATCATCTGTCGGACTATTGGATCCAGAATTATAACCTTCTACAAAAACGTACGCAGCTTCTTTAGTTCCACGATCGCAAAGCTTAATAATAGTTATGTCTTCCCTTTCATTATCTGCACTTTTAATATTACTATGTTCACAAGGACCATTTTTACAAAGGTTACTTTTACATGGATCACTACTTATATCGATATCGTATTGATCCTGGATAGTAGTACAATTGGAATTATGCACAGATCTATATTGTGAAGAACATACAAATGGGTAAGTTTCATTTCCTTGAGGTGTTGAACAATCTGAATCAAATATATTATTTGTAGGATAATTTTTACCACTACAATCCTGAACAATACAAACTCCATGCTTACTTTCTGAAGGAAGAACACCAGGAGATTCATTCACTAATGTCGCCTTTTTGGAGGATCCCAAAATATATTTTTCATTACATATATTGGGTTCATATACATCTTTTCTTTTAGGGTCTTGCAAATTGGGGTTTCCTGAAGGTTCTCTTTCTTTTGGTTTGTCATTGCATTTGTGGGTATTTTGGTTACTTTTCCTTGCATCCACTATTTCTACTTCATGATTACATATTTTGTCAGGGGCCTCCTCTTTTTTTTCTCTTAATCCATTGTGTCCATCACTCAAAGATGTAAAAGCGTTAGAAGGTTCATCACTTTCTTTACACTTTAATAATGCTTTGTTTGCTCTTTTGTCTATATCAGAAAATAAATCAGAAAAAAAACTCAAACATGGACTGTAATTTTTTATTTTGTCTTTTAATGCATCACATTTTTCTTTGAGAATGGAGCCATTATACCCTAACTTCTCTAATTCAGAAATTGAATCATCAATCTCATTTTCAATATCAGAATATTTTTCTAAACAGGTAGAGTCATCATAAGTTCTTTCTTGTGAAGAATCTTCAAATGTTACCCTAATCATTTTTTATTTATTATGCTTAATTCTATCATTTTATTTTTTTATAAATAATTATAAACAATAATGTATTTATATAGTAGACACACCTATAATGTTGAATTTCATATATCTGAAACATGATGTTGTTTCAATATAGGTTTCTAGTTATTAAAAAGTTGTGTAAAATATAATGTTTTCACTTTTCTATATTATTTTTTTAAAAAATGTGCGTATGAACTGTTTAAACTAATATTATTTCCATCTATATATTTATTTATGACTATGAGTAACATAAATGAATTCGATAACTTATGTTTCAGAAATGTGTATTGTTCTTACGTACTTAACAGGCAATATAGCAATAGTAGATACATCACATTAGGAGTATGAACTTCAGTAACATTAAAAAATATTCACTCTTTACAATGTATATAAATCATTTAACGTTTCATAATTTTAATTTGTAGCTTTAATAAATAAAATAAGTTTTGTAAATTATTGTATAAATATTTTATTCTAAGTAATAAAACAGGTATTTAGTGCTATATATTTTTTTGAGCAGAGCACTCTCATTTTCCGCCTACAGATTCGCATGTACTTCAAGAATAATATTACAGATAATAAATAATGTGGCTTCAATCATTTTAACTTTCATTTTTTAAATGCTTTTCCATGTTTCATTGTTCTAACTATAGTGATATATGTTGAATTCATTGATGATGAGAACATTAAAGAATAAATAATTTAGGAACTGTTGCTGAAGTGGTCTCAATGTTGTAAGAAAAATTTGGTATTAAAAGACCTATTTTATGTACAAAAAAAAAAAAAAAAATTAGGAATCTGTCCTGTTTGTGTATTACGTGTTTCTTCTTTTTTTTTTTTTTTTTTTTCATAAATACATCAAACAGAGTTATCACAGAATAGTGTCTTGATTAAACAACACGTGATTGCCTGAGTTACAACGTGTCTCTATTTACAATTAATTATGTTTTAAATGTATCTCAAATATTAAAATAAAAATCCAATTATACCATTAATATGAACAATAATTAAATAAAATAAATAATAATACAATTTATTGCATTTATTATTTTTTTAATTATTAGATTGTTTACAAAAAAAATTAACATTTACAATATTAAAAAATATAAAAAATTTTTAAAAAAGGAACCCAAGCATTTTCAACAAAACAAAGACAATTTGCGTCAACGGAAAAACATGAGAAATAAAATAAAAATAATTAAGAAGTTTAAAATAATTTTGCTTTAATCAAATGTAAATTATGAGGTGCTAATTAAGCAATTTAAATATTTGACTTTTTTTTTTAAACCTTTATTATAATTAAATTTTTATGTTTTAATAAATGGCGTTATTGTTGTTTCAAAAAAAAAAAAAAAAGAATAGGAATCTACAAAAAGCTAATTTTATAACATCTTTAAGATACGGGATTTTAAAAAATTATTTATTCTAGGGAAATTTATTGTAAATACCAAGACAAATGCCAATGTTTATTTAGAAGTTTCAATATGTACCACATTCAAATTAATTCATGAAAAAATAAATTAATAGGACAGTTAAACTGCAATCGGATTTTACAAAAGGACGTATGTTATAATTTAGTGAAATGAAATATACTTATTACAGAGAAAACTTAAAAGGGAAAAGTAAATAAAATAGAATAAATGTTCCCACATGCATTACTGGCTAATTTTTATGAAAAATAAGAATTACTTGTTCTATTACGAATTACTTATAAAAATAGTAGCATTCTAATAAATAAAAATACTACAAATAATTCTTTGCACTATATTATTTTCTATGAAAACTGTAAAATTCCTCATTTTTTCATGTGAATTTAATTAAAATCTCAAACTACGATTCTGTGTTAATGGTATACCATTAATTTAATTTACAAAAAAATATAAAGACAGTTGCTAATAATTAACTCTATAGCTTTGTAATTTATTGTATAAAGTTGTATGGTTTACAGAATACGTTTTATTATTTGTTTATGTGGAAGTAGATATGACATAAAAAAACATTGTATTCTGTCATATCTTCCGAATGTTTTAAATTGTAATGTCACACTTAAAAGGAAATAAATGGGTATATTTAAGTTTTTATAATAAACATTTCCAAATATGTCAATAAGTTAATATTCTATGAACTTATTAGAATAATAGATATTATTTCAGTAGATAAAACATACGACTACTTACACTTTTAACTTTTCTTGCTTAAAGGATGAAAAATGATCAGATTTGCCTGCATATAAAAGATATAAAGAATTGGATAAGGTGGAGGTTTTGAATCGTGGAATTAGTTTCTGCAATAATTTGGAAAAAAGCGATGTCTGGGATAAATTATTTTGTAATAAAGTGTCAAAACTTTTAAAACGGTTATCTAGTGAAAGTGAGAATAATCGTAAAGATGGTTGTCACTATTTTACACATTGGTTCTATTATCAAATAAGTAAAAAATATTATAATGGAGTGGATATAAATAACATACATGTTTATGATAAACTTTTCAATTTGGTATCATTATACATTATAAAGTATTCACAATTGGAATTTTGTCGTTGTTATTATTCTGACACTAAGGAAAGATGGAAAGAGGAAAAAGATTTGCACCATTATTTAAAAAAATTTAAGTATATTAATTGTAATAAATCCAATAAAATTAAATGTCAAAACTATTTGGATAATGTTACTTATAATAATGAAATATATATGAAATAATACAATAACTGTTGTGAATATGATTCTATTGAACCCGTATGCAAATCGTATTCCAGTTGTGACGAGGAATATAATCCGGGTAACCTTTTACCCACTCTAAAATATGAAGTAGAGAAGTTAAGTAGAGAGGAAAGAAAGGTGGATAACACTGTTGGAATTGCAAAACCTGAGGTAGATTCCATTCCTGATCACAACGTTAAAACTATGCTTAAGTCTAATAAAGATGAACTGGAAGATTCAGTTATAGCAGCTAATTCATCTAACGAATCTATTGATTCTTCGGCATTATTATAATAAGAACCCACAATACATTAAATTCATATTATTTTAATCGTTTTATCACAGACATTTCAATATTGGGAACAATTTTATTCTTATATTATTACTATAATGTAAATATAAATTCTTTTTTAGCATTTATTTCCTAGTTATTACAGGCTCATGTTTACTAAATAATACTTTACATATATACATTTTTTTCTTAATCTACTTCTCAAGGGAAAACATCACATAAAGTGAGAATAATGAAGAATAAATTAACCAAAAGAAAAAATGATATACTGTATGATGAATTTCCATCACATGAATCAACATACCAACGCACAGATTACCACAAAGGGAAGTTATACATAGTACATCATGCTGCAGGCGATTATTTTTATACTTATGGATTAGAAAGAGATTGTTTAGAAACAACATATGAATATAAATGCTAGCAGAGCTAAATAAATATTGATAAAAAAGAAAACAGAAAAATATACAAATAATAAAATATAGATATTATAAAAATCAAAATGTAAATATGATACATTGTAAAAGTAAATATTTAAAGGTTTGAGCGTTCCATGTATACGTAACCATAATGTGAAAGTTCGTTGAACTAAAAGAATGAGCACATGGATTTTTTTTTTGAAAATTCAGATATTTAAAAAACAATTAACAGATGTTATATGTCATATAAATTGTTAAAGAACATAAAGTCTTGCACTATATATAAGGTGAAATATGAAATTATATAACCCAAATAATATTACTGAAGTTATATTTTAAGTAAATTAGTGTCAAATTAGCTTAATTCAGTAATAGCGTAAAGAAATATTGTAATTTTATCCTAGAAAGTTTAGTAAACTTCGTTTAATTGAAAACCTAGGAAATAAAATATAATAAATATTGATGATCATGTTAAACGATGTAAAAACATGATCTTCTAAATGTATGGATAATTATATTAAAAAAAGGTTTTTTAATTAGGAAGGTTATATTAGATAAAATCTATGAATGTAAATATTTAACCTAAAAAACACATATTTGTTTTTTTCAATATGTGCAATGCATATAAATAATTTTGTAATTTATTCTTTATCATTAATTTTTTTTTGTTTACTTCTTTTTGTAATATATTTTTTTATTTGATATATGTAATAGTAGAGTATAAATTTGTAACATCAAAAATATAAGACATTACATAATGCCTTTTTCCAACGAAATACTTTTGTTATATCTAATGTATTTTTAAAATGTATTTCTAATATTATTATATAATTTATTAAAATGTAATAATTTTAATACAAAAATATGTTTAAATGTATATTATGACATAGTAACATTATATTATAATTTGTTGTTATATTCCAATTCACAGTATCAACAGTGTAAAAAAAAAAAAAAATATATGCTTATAAATTTATTAGTAAAATTTTTTTTCTTATATATTTACATAATCTTTAATTTTTATATGATATAAGAAAGGAAAAAATTATATTTCCAATATATTATGTATACTGATGTTTCATTTATGTGTATTACATTTGAAAAAAAATTAAATATCTATCACACAGATAAATAAAAAATTTTATACCTAGATACATAGAATACGTCAAAATATGTATGTACATTATGTATAGTATAAATATATTTATTTTGTTGATTTCTATTTTTATAATTATTTAGCAATTTAGTATTATAATTCTTAATATTTACTTAAGTAAAAATGGTATAAAAATGTAAAATTAAACTTTATCGTATAAATGTAAATAACATCATTTGAATTATTATGGTCTATCATTTTTATTCATAACTTGATAGAGCATAAGAAAAATAATTATAACTTTTACAATTTTACTTATTATAGTATCTAAAGTATTATTATATCCTCTTATTATAATAAATTATGTATATTAATTATTAAATATATAAAAATACCTTACTGCATTCCCAATTATTTTTTTCTTACTTCATTAAATACAATTGCATTATTCATTTGTGTACTTCATATTAATGATT